AAGGGGCTCAACAAGGAGTGTTTGCTCTGTGGGGAACCCACAAGGCAGGAGCAAGGTTTCCCAAATGAGGCTGCATCATGAGCCCAGAACTAGAAATGCTCACAGACCTGGAATTGCACAGGAAAACCATAATGTGGCAACAAAAAGGTCTTCACAAATAGGAAACTTTGGTAACCGCTGCTCTTAAGGGATTTAGTTAGATGCTTCTGATCTTGTCTTGTCAAGGGCTAATTGTTTTCAGTATTTCAGAGTTGCATTTCTACTCTTAGGAAGGTGATGAATTTGAGCAAGAGGCTTACTATATAAGCAAGATGCCAGGAAAAAAAACCAGGACAAATAAAACCTATCTGACATCCCTGAAGCCTATAAGTTTTGCCCCAACTTGTTAGCAGATGGCAAACTATTCTCCATAACTCCAGCATGCATCAAAACTGGTCATTGCAAAGAAGCATGGTCATGCTCTGGGAGAAATAACATGAATCCCTCCATTTATAACACAGCCCTTCTTGGGTTTTAGCCATTAATCATTGGCCCATCTGTATACCCAGAACTCAGCTTTGCCAACATGTCCTGGACTCTGAGCTAAGATTCCTGAATCAAATATCCCTTCTTCCTGACTTGAGTACAGTAACATTTTAACCTAAAATCCCCAGTGCCTCAGAGAATGAATCTTTCTTTCCAACATGCAGTAGTAGAGCTGACAATGAACGCTGGTGCTAAGCTCCCATACCTGCTATTTTTGACCAATGTCTGTCAGGTTGGGCTGGATAGATAAATACAACTATGGGACAGGTGTGGACATAGAGATATCTGATAAAAGAATCTCATCCAGCTGAGAACATCATGGCATATCAAGTCTCTCCTCCACTGTCTATTCCAGTTTCCTGAAGAACTCTGAAAGTCTATGCCCTCACCTTTGTTGTGTGCACTCAGGACATCTCCAACACATAGTCAAGGTCCAGAAGAAGAAAATGGTTAGCAACTGTGATCCTCTGAATCAGTGGAAATAGAAAAAAGTGTCTCATCAAAATGGTGGAATGTATTTGTTTGGGAAGTGCAGACTACTTCAAATGTCATCTGCTTTCACTAAAGGTACGTGGTTCAATTCTTAAGCATCTCCTATGTGAAATAAAAGTGCAGCTACTGCTGCATAAAAACAATAAAAAACATTTCTATAAATACATTACCAACCAAGGGAGGGACAAAGAGAATCTCCACCCTTTATTGGCAGCAGGGGAAAACATAAAGGCAAAGAATGAGGAAAAGGCAGAGGTACTCAATGCCTTCATTGCCTCAGTATTTAATAGCCAGACCAGTTGTTCTCAGGGTACCCAGCCCCATGAGCTGGAATACAGGGACAGGGAGCAGAATGAAGCTTCCATAATCCAAGGGGAAATGGCCAGTGATCTGCTATACCACTGACACACACATGTCTATAGCAATCCACCTGAGGATACTGAAGAAGCTGTGGGAAAAGCTCACTGAGCCACTCTCTATCATTTATCAGTGGTCTTGGCTAACTAGGGAGGTCCCAGAAGATTTGAGGTTGGCAAATGTGATGTCCATCTCCAGAAGGGCCAGAAGGATGATCCAGGAAACTATGGGCCTGTCAGCCTAACCTCGGTGCCAGGCAAGGTTATGGAACAGCCCATCTTGGATGCAATCACTTGCCTGACAATCAGGGGATCAAGGCCTGCCAGCATGGGTTTAGGAAAGGCAGGTCCCGCCTGGATAGTCTGGTCTCCTTCTGTGACAGGTTTACCCACTTAGTGGATGAGGGAAAGGATATTGTTTACCTGGACTTTAGTAAAGCCTTTAACAGTGTCTCCCACAGCATTCTCCAGGAGAAACTGGCTGCTCTTGGCTTGGATGAGTGCACAGTTCACTGGGTAAAAACTGTCTGGATGTTCGAGCCCAGAGTGATGGTGAATGAAGATACATCGAGCTGGTGGGCAATCACCAGTGGGGTTCCCCAGGGCTCAGAGTTGGGATCAGCTCTGTTAAGTATCTTTATCAACAGTCTGGACGAGGGGATCAAGTTCACCCTCAGTCAGTTTGCAGCTGACATCAAGTTGGGTGGGAGTGTTGATGTGTGGGAGGGTAGGAAGGCTCTGCAGAGGGATCTGGACAGGCTCGATCGATGGGCCAAGGAGACCTATATGAGGTTCAACGAGGCCAAGTGCCAAGTCCTATACTTGGGTCACAACAACCCCCAGCAGCACTACAGGCTTGAGGCAGTGTCTGGAAAGCTGCCCACTGAAAAAGGACCCAGGGGTGCCTGTCAGCAGTGGCTGAACATGAACCAGCATGTGTCCAGGTGGCCAAGAAGGCCAATGGCATCCTGGCCTGTATCAGAAAGACTGTTGCCAGCAAGAGCTGAGGTACATGGTTTAGTGGTGGTCTTGGCAGTGCTGTGTTAGTGGCTGGACTCTGCAAGGTCTCTTCCAACCTAAATGTTTCTACGATTCTAAAATACGTAAGAGGATAACATATTTCACAGAAGTCAGACCACCTTAAAATCCTATGAAAATAATATGCTGCACTTAATACACTCCTCTCCAGAGGGGAGGTTGTAAAAACAATAGTTGAAAGATGCATGATCATTTTGCCTAATGCACTACTGGAAGATATTCCAGTGTTTGTCTGACAGGTGCAGGAAAAGAACAGAAAACAAAACAGTTCAGGCCGGGTCAGGTGATCTTCCCAAAGATTTCTCCTGTCTCTTCTCTCAAGAAGCACATACCCAAGAGATTCTGTATGCAAACTTCTGCTCAGAAGGGAGTATGGTACAATAGTAAAAACCAACAGACACATCTAGAATAGCATTAAAAATTAAAAGCCCTTAGTGAAATCCAGTAGCTGCTGTATGTACGCCCCCAGCTCACTGCAACACAATGCTTTTCTGAAGCTTTGGGAAAATTTTAGAAGGAGGTAAATAAGTGGATGCTCTCCATACATCACATACATTAAAAAGGGAGTAATCATCACAGGCTTGTCTGCTGCACACCAGTCCTGGGCAAGAACACAGAACATCTGTGGCAGAGCTCGACCAGTAAACAATTAATATTCATCAAAAATGTGTAATGGAAAAGGAATCTTATTAATTAATCCAGTCCTAGTTTTGATGACCCTGGTTGAAAAAAAGTAATAGGGTTGATGTAACAGGCTTCTGAAGAGCACCAGAGTTGAATTATTGAATAATAAACTTGGCTGGTTTAAAATAAACATAGTACAGTGTAGATGAATTGGAGACCAGCTGATACCTTTCCAAATTAAATAGTAAATGGCAAATGTTCACTCAGCAACTGAACTTTCAATCCCATACAGATGCTGGCTTACCAGGTGCTGTTTATTATTTTTATTGCTGGCATGGGAGAAAAAGTTAAACTATTATTTAGTAAGTTTGTGAAATTTTGGGAAGTGGTATGGAATAAAGAGGACAATAAAGCAAAACAATCCAGAGAGGAATTCAATAAACTGCACAGAGACAACAGTGTTTCGGGACAGACATGTACAGAGTTCTGAAGGTAAAATTAAGAGATCTTGTTTCTCAAACATGAGAAAGGAGGCCAGAAGCAAACTGGTAAAAGTCTAGCAAGGGATAGAATCTAAGTGGTTTAATACAGACGTCTTCAGCAGCATAATGCATGTACTAGAGATGTAATATCAAGTAGAAGAAGCAAAGAAATTACATCACATCCCAACCTGGCATTGGTGCAACTGCTGTTGATGTTTGGAGCCTATTTCAGAGGCTGCAGGTTCTATGGAACTAAAAAGAATTGAGAGAAAAGACACAAGAATGAGTGAAGAATTGGGAAACTTCATTCTGGAGAAAGACATGCAAAGATTTACCTCTTTAATTTTACAAAGAAAAGACTGAGACATTTCTTAATCACAGATTATAAGTATTTAAAGAGAGAATTAGAATTAGCTAATTAGGTTTCTTCAGCCTTAAAAGATCAGCAATGGCCAATAGCTAGAAGTTAAACCTAGACATTCAAAACAGAAATAAATCCAGTTTCTCTGACAGTTTTGCAAGGGCTGTGGGATACTTACAGTCACTGTGAATCTTCAAACCAACTTTTTAAAATTTTCTCTCCAGTTCAAACAGCAATTAATTTAGGAAGGTATTATGGCCTCTTGGTCTCAGTAACCTATCAGTGAAGTGACAGGGCTTCAGATGCTTCTGTGGGAGGCTATTTTACAACCTAATAAATGTCATCTTTGGGAAAAGTTTCGTGCAATTCTGCATTTGTCTTTAATACACTACTAATGGACCACTCTGAGTAACTGATTCCCTTGTTTTCTGTTCTCATCAAAGCACAATTTAAATAATGAACTTTCAGCAGATAATAACACCTTTTCTAATACTTGCAAAGAATAATCAGAGAATTAATCAAGTAATTAATTCTTAGTTCTTAGTCATTCCTCCTACTCAAGACCCAAACCAATGTTCAGTTAAGCACAGGAATATGTGAAGAATGTTTCCTTCAGCCAAGCACTGGAGAAGGAGGAGATTTGGCATTTGTGACCCTCAGACTGCCATATTTTGTGGTATCTGTACCCAAACCAGAAGACTTCACAGAGAAAACTGAGATTCTTGCAGGGGGTGAAATAAATTGTGTTCCTATGGTTAACACTCCTCTCCATCATCATTTGCTTTTTGTCTGTGTCTTGTTATTTTAGTTACTCATGCTTTAATGTGCCTCCTAATGTCAATCCTGCTATTCGGTGTTGAAGCACTGAGTACGTTTCCTTAAAACCACAAATCATAGAATGGTTTGGGCTGGAAGGGACCTTAAAAATCATCTCATTCCAGTCCCCCTGTCATGGTCTGGAACACCTTCCACTAGACCAAGTTGTTTAGAACCCCACCCAACATGGCCTTGAACACTTCCAGGGATGGGGCATCCAAAACTTCTGTGGGCAACCAGTTCCAGTGCCCCACTACTCTCAAAGAAAAGATTTTTTTTTTTATCTAATCTAAAAAGCAGTTTCTGAGGGGGCACCTGGAGTTGAACGAGGGACCTCTTGATCTGCAGTCAAATGCTCTACCACTGAGCTATACCCCCTGACTAAGCACCTCTGCTGTGTAAATTAAACTCATTAAGACATTCACTGCCCCAGGGAGTTCACAACATGGAATATAAACCAGCCTTGTCAAGCTGGTTGCCTGTGAACTGAGTCCAGCACAGACCATCTCACTGTATTTCTTCCTGAGCCTTACAAGAGACACACATGGTGGTGTAGGAATGGGGGGCAGCACCACAACACCTTATGGATTAATAACTTCTGCTGAGCCTTATAGCTGGACAGTACCAACCAATGCATTGTGAAATGATGGCAAAATTGCTCTGCATTTCCTATAACTCTCTCCCTGCACCTCTTTTCAGGCATGGAAGGTGGTTACCTGTCCAGCTCCTTTTGTCCAGATGCACATAACGAGGCAAGCTGCACTGCCCCATCCCTTTTCTTAGCCAGCACCTGCCCTTCTCCCCTCAGCAGGACAGCTGAACACTCACAGTCAAACTCAAGAGGTAAAGATAACCCAGTGACTCTGGGGACTGAATCTCCATGTCAAGGCAGTGGTGATATTCTCCAAAGGACAGTCCTGAAGTTCAACTTTCCCTGAGTAAATCCCAGGTCTCTGGAAACAGACTGGAAAACAGTAAATTTAGCAAGGAAACACAGACCCCACAGCTCCCTATTGCTTCACCACCCCTCTGTCTGAAATATTTAGTAGTATCTAGATATTTGCTAGAATCACAATATATGTTCAAATACCAGGACAATGAAACAGCATGGGTCAGCCAGGAGGCTCTGGTACAGAGAATCCAGTGTGAATGAAGTTGGACAAACATTAGATAAATAAGTAGGAGAGGCTGAATCCTAGTGGAAACTTTGCTCTAAAGGGTGAACCTCATGGACTGAGATTTCCAAGTGAAGGATCTACAGACAGGTGCATTCACTGGGACTCTCTAGGTAAGACCCCCAAACTGAACTTTTTGACATCTTTTTCTGGGATTTTGATTCACCCAAAGTTTGTAAGGTCAAAAGTTGTCAACGTTAGTGCTTTGGAAAGTATGATTTCTCTCATGATGAGCACCATCCCAGCACTGAGCTTATATCATAGCCAATCCTCCTTCCAAATCATTAATAAGGATCCTAAACAAAAACAATTTAACATTGTTCCCTGCTGTTCCCCTGAGGTATCTCCCACCAAGTGTTGGCATTTATTCATCACTATGCATTTCTAGTGCCTCCAGCCTGTTTTCAGTCTGGTTTATAATCTTCATCTCCAGTCAATCTAAATTAATTTTTCAGCTCAGTCTTCATGAAATAATTGTCACAGTACATGAACAGACATCTTATTTACACAGATTAAATGACCACATTTTATTCATCTATTTGGTCTGCAGTTGGATCAAACTAAGTGATTATGTCTGGATTTGCTTCTTACAAATCTATGTATGTATCATTCATGTTCCTTCTCAATGGTGAAGTTAACATGTGTAGAGGGTCTGCATACTTCCCACATGTCACTAAAGGAATCCAATTAATAACTAAAGTGTGCTTTGAGTCACACAGAAACCTCAATAAACTTTTCTTCACCAGGGAAGAGGTTTGCTTTAACTGCTTACAGATTTACTTTGTTTGGTCTTTTCTCCATTATTCCATTCCAACAAAATTCACTCCTTCCTTTTTCCATCATTTACATTCTGTCTTGGCAACTATCTTGAGAGTTAGTTAATATACATACGGCTGATGTGAATGCATGGCACAGCAAATTATTCTTCTTTCCTTATTTAGACTCTTTTACTAGAGATAGAAGACAAATTTATTGGATAGTTACTAGCTCTTTTAATGACTGCTGTTTATTTGTAAAGAGCAATACAACGTTTTCCTCTGTCCTCTGTTTTTCAGAGATAACTGTGAGCCAGCTCCTTGACTAATTGCAAGAAAACCAGCAGGCAGATCTGGTTTCCCAAGTTTCATTTCTAACATTTTTCTGTTTCCCATATCCCTGAAAGTCGCCTCACAGAGGTTGTATTCTGCCCCATTCCCAATGTATTCAGTTAATGTTAGCATCAAGAGGTATCACAGAGATTCAATAAATCCAGCAGTACTTCAAGTTCTCATTCTGTGGGGCTTCCTAATGCTGTCAGACAGTTTGAGGTCTAAAATGGGATGAAAGGAGACAAGGCGAGGTAAATATGTCACTTCCACTCACAGCGCTTTATGGATGTTTCCCAACTTGGTGAAAGCCAGCTGACCCACAGGAAGTGCAGTAAGGTATATGGGCATGTGAAAAAGTTAGTGCCTACTGACACCCTTGGCAAAGACCAGAACTCTTTTTCTACCACATATATGCGGTGACCCCAGTAATAAGAACAGGATTCTGGATCACTTTAATGTCTGAATCATCAACTTTTTGTGATTTAAGGGGGGGTATCATGGTCATGAAGAAAGAACTCTTCATTTCTTTGTGTCATTCCACTAAACATAAATATGCATTTCCATCAGCAGACATGAAATAGTTGTTTCAACAGAGTTCCTGAAGTTTAGAGACACACACACCCCAAAAAACAACCAAACATCTGAGCAGGAAAATGATGTAAATTGGAGAAAATTAAGTGTCCTCTACAAGGGCCCTACCCTTTCAAAGCAAACAAACTTCTCCAAAGAGTGATGAAGAGAGCAGCTTGTTCCAGCTGCCCTATGACTCAGACTGGCATGAACATTGCATCTGGCCAGAGCAGCTCTGGACAACAATATGGGGAGAAAATAAAGGCCAAATACTGCCTTGGTTCAGAAGATGTGAAACTTTCAAGAAACTGAACACCAGGTTATTGAACATTTCTGGCTCCCTACTATATCCCACCAGTCCACATACCTACTGCACACATAGGCAAGCGAAGCACAAGCTCAGATATGATGATATCCAAGTAGCAGCTTATAACAAATACAGCAGTCACAACTGTCTCTGTAAGACTCCTATCTGAAAACCTCATCACTTACTTGGGTTCTGAAAAGAGAACTGAACACAGCTGAATATATGGTGGAGATCTTCAAAATGGCCAGTCCTTTAGGGAGCTTCAACCTTGGGCCGTGGATCCTAAGAGAGGATCTCAGAGAGACCCAGTTGTGGAGTCCACCAGCGACTGTTTGTTGAGATGAGAAAAGCATGACAAAAAGGATCAAAATGGACTAAATAAGTCTTTTGATATCAGCATCTGTGACTCTTTTGCTATCAGCATTGTGGCACTGAATTACTTTCTTCTGCTGTCTTGCCTAAGACCCATTAAAATGAGAAACAGCACTTCTCAGACAATTTGTTAAAATCACTTCAGGTCTCTGAGTGACATTAATGATCAGTGACTGAGGGTGGAGTGCAGCGAGGTGAATGGCATGATGAGTTCTGATTACAGCATCCACCTTTCTGGAGAATTTCTATCTGAGCACTTACATGAACTCTCAATACACCTCATCACATCCTGCTCTTTACCTTATTTACCTTCATCACTCCTCTGCAAAGTATCCTCACATTTCATTTTTTAAATACAGAGCTGAAGCAGAGAAAGAACAATTGACATAAATTGACTTGTCTAAGGTCTGCCCAGGTCTCCTACACTGAGGCAGGCAGAGACCTCCCTTGTACTTTTGGAGCTGCAGACAAATCTTACGGGTGGTTAGTCCTTAAGGATATGCTCAGAGCTCTCCTGCTCCCTTCCCTCACAACATCCTCTATGTTACCAGACATTGCAAAACTTTTCATGAGGTGGCAGAACAGTTAAGGGCACAAGTACCAGTGTCAGCCCTTTTGAAAGTGCTTCAGGTTTGGTGTAGTGCTCTAGGACCTGCCAAATCTAGAGACTCAAGAAGATTTTTGCAGAAGTATTCACCGAGACAGCCTGTCTCCACATGTCTATCAATAATGGTCGTGTCAACACTTCCAGGATAGGATCTGAAGGTACCCTCACCTGCTGTAGGGTTGCTAATGGCCATTATCTGGTTCATAAATGGGGAAAGTCAGCCACACAACAATAAAACAATTCTTCTGCAGTAACTCATGGATCAGAGCTAGAATATAAAAAAAAAAAATTAAATCCTGGCTCAAATATCCTATATTATCTACAGAGTGATTGAACTGCTCCTCTTAGAGTTCTCTCTTTCATTTTCTTTCCATCAGCCCCACCTTCCTCTCATTGCCAATCATGTCTCTCATTGCTATTGCCATTTCCCTTCCTGTAGCCTTTTCACTGTTCTTATCCCAGCAATGATCCCTTCCTCACAGTTCTGCTGCTGTGCCTTAGGTCTTTCCCTAAATGTCATTGCATCAGGCCATCTCCCTAGGACCAGAGCTGCTTCTCTGGAGGGGAACATGCATCTGTTGGCTGGAAAGCAGCCAGCAAACCCCTGTTTCCCCCAGCTATGCTTCAGGAGGATGATGAGTGGTGGTGTCAGCAGAGAGAAGTAAGAAGCCTTGGCTGCATGTTCAATACCTGGAAGCAGCCCCTAGTCACTGGAAAAAGGATCTGAAGAAGGAGGGTTGCTCCCCCTGGCCTCACCCAAATGATGTTTTATTCAGCATGAAGGAGATGTTGACAGAAGGATCTGTGTGTCCCCACAGATGAGAGATTCTTGGCTGGTAGGGATGTGCCTCCACCAATCACCTCCACTGCAGCAAGAGGGTAGGTAACTATCTGAGGCTCCTGCTCACCCACAGCCAGAGGCTGATGCACAGCACTCCAGTCTGCTCATAAAAAGGGCTGTCAGGAAGAGCAGAGGAAGGACACAGGCAGGACAGCCAGGTCCCCTGGGTTATGTGTAAGGAATCAGGGTGAGAAGTAGGTTTAATCATGGCATTGCTGCTCTGATTTGAGCACATGGGAAGTTAAAAGTGTAGTTTTCATGTAAACTTATTTTTGAACTCAGGAAGAAGGGTTGGACTTGCTGTTTGTGATCACATCACTGATCTGCTCCTTGTGTCTATGAATCCACGACATCCTCCCCCAGCGCACCTCTCTCAGGATATGCTTCATTAGCTTAGCCCAACTACACACAATTTGCT